TTCCTCTCTATATTTCTGAAACATATTTTCAAAAATCTAATGGACTACTCCAGAAGTTTATCTGGAGAAATTCTTCATCTCATTTTTCACTTAGGAAGCTTAAATTTTCAGAAAAGGGTTTAATTGTTTAGATTTTTTTAAAAAACACATACTGTAACTTCCTTCTTAACAGTGATTTGAAATTGGACTTTGGACACTTTGAAATCAGCACATTTGACACATTTAATAAGTTGAAGGATGTTGGAGTCCAAAAACTGCAGTGGCTTCACTGAAAGTACAAAATGTAAGAATCTAGGAGAATGAAACTGGTCCTCCTAAATTAGCAACAATGGAGCTACTCAGATCATTCTGATCATGCTACGTTAACATTACCGAGATTCCAAACAGAAACATAGCATGATAATGCTTTCACTGAAATATTTGGATGGAGTTTGAGCATGTATTTAGTTTAATAAGATTCAATGATAAATTTGAGGAGTTGCTTTGACAACAAACCCAGCCCACAAAATCAAAAACACAGGGTTTTCTTGAGAGAAGATACTGCACTTTGTTGCTCTGCACAGCTCTATTAATACACAAAACAATAAACCTAGAGTAATAATTTATAAAAGTATGTTAGGACATCAAAATATTAAAAAATACAAGAAGGCATGGAAAATGAATTGGAATATCTTGTACTAAACATCTATAGAGTAAATACCTGGTATCTAAATATCACACTTTAAAATTAACAATCATTACTGAATTAATTAATATTAATAGAAATCCTTCAACATTTCATGTTTCCAAGAAGAAACAGATGGTTCAACTAACTGTTGGAAATTGAAAGGGCTTGAAATGCAACACTGGTTCATAAAAAGTGGTTTGGTGTTGTAGCAGCTCTATTATGGAAAAAAGATCGTAGAATAGAATAGAGCTGGTAGGGACCTTGGAGGTCTTCTAGTCCAGCCCCCTGCTCAAGCAGGAGAACCTATACCAGTGATGGCAAAACTTTTAGGCATAATGCCCAAACTGGAAGGTGCTCATGCATGCCAGAGCATCAGAAACCCGATGACCAGCTGGCTGGCGTGCATGTGCGCCTCAGAAACCCAACAACCAGCTGGCCAAGCTGGGGCAATGGCGCGCGTGCCCACAGAGAGGGCTCTGCGTGCCACCTCTGGCATGTGTGCCATAGGTTTGCCATCACGGACATATACCATTTCAGATAAGTGATTGTCTAGTCTCTTCTTAAAAATATCCAGTGATGGAGCGCCCACTATTTCTGAAGGCAAGCTGTTCCACTGGTTAATTGTCCTCACTGTTAGGAAGTTTCTCCTTAATTCCAGGTTGCTTCTCTTTTTGTTTGGTTTCCAACCAGATATTTCATAGAATAATTCTGTTTGGTGAATTTTTTTGGCTATTATAGTTATTTCTGTTTTTTTTTAATTATCCATCTTTTTCTACATTCAAATATATATTTACTATCACAAGATCCAAATGTAAGAGATTTAGATTTCATACACCAATTTTAATATTTAATTTCCCATTTTTCCTAAAGTAAATTAAAAACATTAATAATTTATTTAGCAATATATTAATATAAATGAACACTACTTTTATTTAATGACTGAAAAATGCATACTTTTGTGTGGAGCGGGTTCTTTTCCCCATTTTAGCATATGTAATAAAAATAGTTTTTAAAAATATACTTGGGTTTTGCAGTCAGGTCTCTCTAGAAAAACTAATTACGAGTGGAAAACTTGTAAATTAAGCACCAGAACATAAAAGAAAAAAATATATTCTGTAATTAAAGTCTTGTCTACTTTAGACTAAACCAGCCAAAATGTAGCACAATTTCCACAATGATTGATGTTCTGTTGATAACAATAGTTAAATTCAATTTGGCAGTGTGAACAACTAAAAAAAAGGTTGAAAGAAAAAGTTCACATCATACTAAGAAAGACTGACTCTGGAAACTTTCAAATATTTCAAATATGCATAATGTTCTGCAGTTTGCAGAACAGTAATTATAATTAGGTTAGGGATAAAAAAAATCTGTAAGCCTCCAAGAATTGTTGACTTATAGCCAGTGGTGGGTTGCTACCGGTTTGCCCCAGATTGGGCAAACTGGTAGCGGTGGCAGCGGGAGGCTCTGCCAACCCGCCCGGACGTCTTTGTGCATGTGCAGAAGCTTCTGTGCATGTGCAGAAGTGTCGTGCATGTGTGCGTCCACGAGCGAACTGGCAGTGACAGGATTTGAAACCCACTACTGCTTACAACTCACCACTAAGCTGCCTAAACTGGGTGTTGTAGCTAAGCAATATCTAGAGGGTCAGAATTACTCTACCCTTGATTTCAGTTACAATAACCTATAACAGCTGAACTCAAAAACTTCAGCTATAGGGATGATTAACTGGGAATGGAATGTAGAATGGTTCTGTTTCCACTGGACTGTCAAACTTTATTTATTTATTAGCCCAATTTATATGCCGCCCTTCTCCGTAGACTCAGGGCGGCTTACAATGCATTATAGCAATAGCCTGCATACTTTTTTGTATATACCTGCTTATTAGGGCTTGTAGACTATGCCATTCTAGAGGTGGTCGAATGGATCCCAAAGTAGTTCAGAATCAGATTATGCTGCTTCAGACTTTGTGCTCTAGACAAAACTTTATCTGCTTTCAAAATACGGGAAGAGGTTTGGAATGCTCTCAAGGGAAGGAGAACTTAGCTATTCTGCTCATAGCTAACCTATCTAGCATCCACTCTACAACAAAATGAATTTCTATAAGTGATCAACTTTAGCTCATTCTGAATTTCCACATGGGAATTACAATAGTGTATGTTTCTTCTAATAGTATGAGTAGTCTCTCAAAGAAGTAATACCTGAATATGTACACATACAAAAAAACCCATTCGCTTTGGACAGTCTCATGAAGATTTCAAAATCTACCTAACATACAAAAAAAGCTCAAGACTTTTTAAAAGTCATCCATCTTATCTGCAATCTGGAGTCCACAAATTATCCTAGCACAGGCATGCTTATTCCTAACTACAGGGATCTATTTTACCTGCTAGTTTAGTAATTTCATACTTTAGCCCTTGTAAAATTGCCACTTACTTTATGACTTTAACTGTTTTCTCATTTGCTCCAAAAGCTGAAGGCAGTTAGTGAATAGACAATGCTGCTGTCTCATACCAGCACTGAACAGCCAATATGTAGATTAAAGTTTCCCCATCATATCCTCATAGCCATCATATCCCCAAGTCACCCAGATTGAAAAAATGGCCTCCTTACTATCCCAGACCTATAAATTAGATATACTTTCTGCATTCATGTGAGGAAGTGCAAAAATAATTGCTTTCATATAAAGAGAGATTTCAACAGAATTACTGTAGTATGTAAAAAGGTTGAATTTCTCTCATTCTAATACTCAGTTCAAATTTACTAATCTAAATAACTAAATATTTTGTACACAAGTCTCCACCTCTCATGGTATAATGTCAAAAATTGTCAGAAATCAGTATACAAAGTAATTTGAACCCACCTAACATGTTCAAGTTATGGTATCATTCTGACTGAATTACAGAAATTGAGTCACAGTGCAGAAGACCACACTGCAGTATTCACATTTACATCCAGTATAGCCAATTTAACATTATGAACTGTCTAAGCAACTCACATTATCAAGCAAAAACCACAAATGTAAGTATACGCATTAGTCTCTGTGAAACTAGTTGTTGATTCATCAAACTGAACAGCAATGATATTCATTCATTGCAAAATACCTGTTTGTAAAAGATACCAATATTGAAGGTGACCAACTATGGGATACACACTCAATGTAGCCCTTTGGTGCTCAATTATATCAACATACAGATCCAAATCAGATCCCATTGAAGGGATAAAAGTGTAATAATTATTACAAAAAAGTGTAATACTAGCCAAATTGTCTCAAGGATTAGAGAGGAAAATACTAAAAAGTAGTTCATAATGAATGAGGGCAAATATAATAATTCAGAATGATTATTATGGAATTATTTATGAAACAGTTTCATGAGTTATTAAGGCTGTGTTCTTAAAAAGCTGTTTTATGCTCAGAACAGCTTTAAAAAGACTTTAAGTCTTTTTACATGTATTCCTCCTGTACCTACAAATATGTTGTTCAAAAAAGAGCATTCAGAAAAACCCTTTTCATTCAACCTACAAGTTTGAAAGATTTTACTCTCAATTTGCCAATATAAACAGTTCTAAAATGCACTTTTCCAATCCCAATCCCATTTAAAGCTTAATCTTTTTTTTAATTACCCACAAACCTACTTTTCTCTAATTTACTTTTCCCAGTTGTATCATCAGAATACATATGCCTTTAAGTGTATGGCTTACTAGTCTTAAATTATTGTGACTTTTGGGAATACATGGAATGGCGATTAACTTTTGACAGGTTAGTTTAAAATACTTCAGATTAAACCTGGAATTTCTCAGACTGGTGCAAAATTATTAGAAGTTTGGGGCAACAGTCACGGAGCATTTACTTGGCTGAAACATAAAAAGCCATGGGATATGATCCTTTATTTGCCTGCAAACGAAAATAAATGGACTGTTCTCCAAGGGAAGCTATGGCTTGTTAGAATGAAAATTCAAAAAACTCCGGAATATATCGCGACCCCCACCTGATTTCCCTGATGTGCTCATGGGTGAAACTTGGTCTCCTTCCTAGGAGCTACTATGAAGTAGTATAGATATGAATTACTCTTCGCACATGTTCAGAAACCTTTGGCCTTCAAACACAGGGGCGACAGACCGCTCTCCCTCGCAACCTCAAGCAGAAGCGATGGCGAGAAAGCAGCTCCTAGAAGTGGTTAGCAGCTCGTCCACATCCCCTCACCGGTTGTCCGTCCTACAACTCATTCATTCTTTTCATTCATTCATCCGACCCTCCCTTTTCACGCGACTAGGCCCCCACCGGCCCGCTTGTCAGTGAGCATGCCCGCCAGCTCAGCCCCATTTCGCCACTCACGGCTATACAAAGCGAGGCAAGCGGCGTCAGGCCCGGTGCGAGCCTCGAGACGCAGCGCTTGCTGCTCTTGGTGCCGTTGGATTTCCCCGTTGGCATCGCCGATAGTCAGGAGCCGCACACCCGGAAAGACCGATACCACCGCCGCCGCCATCTTGGCATCCCAGGCCCGCTCCGCGGCGGCGGCGGCGGCGGCGACTGTAGGTAAAGGCCGAAGGCGACTGAAAAAGGCGTCAGAGAAGGAGCGGCCGGAAGCCGTGCCTTTTGAGCACCGCTAGGCTGGACAAGGCAGGGGGCGGAGGCGCCCTCTACTGGTCGGCGGGGATAAGGAAGGGGGTGCCCTTCGGGCCAATCAGCGTGGGAAGGCGAGTCGCTGCCGGACGAAAAGATGGCAAGGTAAGGAATTCAGGTGATGGGAGTAAGACGAAAGAGGACTAGTATTCAGTGCCCTTGAGAGAAAGGACAAAGTCCAGTTAAGTTGGTGTAAGAAACTGGGCTGCAAATTCCCATATTTCCTTGCAGGGTGGATAAAAATCGATGATTTTTTTAATTTTTTTTTTAAATCAGATTTTTTTATTTAAATCGGATTTTTTTTATTTTTATCAAATTTATTTTAATAAAATGCTTTTTGGAGTAAAAATCTATCTAAAGATAGTTTTCTGTTTAAGATGCATTAGTTTATTCAGCATGAAATGGAGCTTAGTTATGTAGCATGAGGCTGTAAATTCTGCAATATTGGGACTGTGGTGAGTCAACAGCAAATCAGAAGAGGAGCTCCTGCGGGACAGAGATGACAGTTGCTCTTTAAAAAATTATGATTTAAATCAAGTCTTTTTACTAGTGATTTAAATCAAATTCATCCTGTTTCCTTGTATCTCTTTGCTGCCACCCCATATATATCTGGAGCTTTGGACTCCAGTCATGCTAACACCTAGGTTGGAAGATTGTGTATCCACAGAGTGGAGGATCAACCCAAGAAAATATATTTACTTATTTTATTCAATTGCAAAGAAAGAAAGACACAGTTTTGCAGGACAGATAACAATTGTACCAGGGATGAAATGCTCCTGGTTCGGACTGGATCGGCCAATCCGGTAGCGATGGCGGCAGGTGATTCGGAGAACCGGTAGCAAAAATCCCTGGCTCCCCACCCATGCCCACCCAATCGCCCGGTTGCCTGCTTGCCGCTTCTTTCAAAAAAAATGCTTTTAAAAGGTAAAAAAAAAGGCTCTGATGATCCCAGCTGAGCTGCTTGATCGTCAAAGTCTTTTTTTTACTTTTAAAAGCATTTTTTTACAACCTATTTGGCCCTGCGCACTGTTCTACTTACTCCATGCCTCCTTTTGGCGTGCATTGTGTGCGTGTGCACATGCGTGCGTAACGCGCATGTGCAGCAAGCGAACCGGTAGTAAACCGGTTCAGATTTCACCACTGAATTGCACCAAATCAGAATTTCATTAATAATGCTTTATTGATGGAATAAAGTAACCCACAATCATCAGAGCTCTCTCTTACCATACTGGGTAAAAACTGATGTTATAAGCTAGAAAAATATGTGTGGGGAAGAGTGCTCACCTCCAAGGTCCCTTCCAGCCCTATGATTCTATGAGGCGAAGAAATATTCTTCTACTGGCTCTCTTGGAGTCTGAATACCTCTGCAGTTTTAGCATGCAAAATTCTAATAAAACTAATAGGATTATCAGTATTTCTCACAGTGTGCAGTGAAGAATGTCAACCTTGCTGTCAAGAAAAATAAAGCTTTTGATAGTGTATGCCATATGATGTGCACTAATCAAACAGTTGGTAAGGAAGAAGGGGAACTCAGGCACAAAAGACGTTATGTAGAAAACAAACACAGGGATTTCTTGGGTGACGTCATGATGGTGTGGTACAGGAGAATGGGGCTCCGTTCTTTCTGTCCAAATTTTCACGGTCTGGAGGCCTGTAGAGGCCAAATTAGACCCTGGAGGGGTCAGTGTTATAGAGGGGATACTCCGGGGGTGATAGAGAGAAGAGCGATCCCCCATTGCAGCAGGAGGAACCTCTTGAATCCGGTGCAAAAGAGACCGGCTGTTATGGTTGGGTCCAGAGGCATGACAGCCTGATCGAAAGGCGGAGGAAGCAAAGAGTGAGAAACAGCGAGAAGTATTGGTGGAAAGTGACAAGACAGAGTGAGATACCAGGTTGCTTCTCTAAATTTCCGTTGGGCAGCAAACCAAAATGGCGGCTCCGCAGTGAACCCCGAGCTTAGGGAGGCGATGTTTGACATTTTCAGGGGTTTAAGGGGTCAGTTAACCATCTTTTGACCCCCTCCCAGCGAGCTGAGGTGTTGCCGACTCGATAGAGCCGTGGATGGAGCCCGAGGAACAGCTGACTGTCGGGGAGGAGGTTAGAGGACTGCGGCATTACCTGGAGGCTTGGCTGCAAAGACGCCCCCGTTGTTGGTGGAGAAGATGGCAGTATTACAAACGTTAGGATCTGTCAGTTTTTGAGGGATCTGGACACTCCCCCCCTTTTTTCTGAAGCATGGAAGGGGCTAAATGGGCTGAATGGCCTGAAGATCAAGCTTATGGGGAAGGAACTGAGAATTGTCAGTTGGGGGATGACAGTTGGTCTCCCCCTTAACTGTTCCCCCCCCTTATTAGGCTTAGGCCTAATAGGGCCACTCAGCATAAATTTACAACTTTTGATTGATCTGCAGCCTTATTTGACCATTATTTGACCATCTTGTCCTCCCTGGGTTACCCGGATTATTCGATTGTTCAATCATTTATTCCATCCTATGACTACACCTTGCTTTTTTCTGAACTAAGCCTTGGCTATCGCTGGTGTGAGAACGGGAGGAGGCACAGACACCAAGAGTCTTGGACTATGGTGGGACGGACCATCTCTCATTTGACCTTATGACTCTGGTTTGGGTCACCTTGAAAGGGCGGCCTTTGAGACTTTTTTCCCCACCATTGAATAGACTTATTATAATCACAAGACTTCCCATCGTCATGATAGGACGATGATGTCCCGATGTTCTGATGTTTTTAGCATATTGACTTCTCTTTAACATCTTTTCCTCCATTATTTAATCTACCTGTTTTTACCATCTCTAACAGCCTTTAATAGAAAATGATCCTTCATCACTCTCAGCTCATTACTATTCTTTAATGTATTCAACTGCGGAGCTCCTTGCACTGCGAGACTCCCCCCTCTCGCAGGTTTGGCCCTTTCAGCTATCGAGGGCTGCCCTTGATGACGGGTTTTGGAACCCCGAGAGGTGGTACGCTAAAAAACGGAAACTCTGGGGTTTTTTAAATAGATTTTTAGATCCAATTTTAAGGGGATCCGGGAGGAGGGTGGTTTTTAATAATAAAAATGAGACTGGGGGGTCTCTTAAGGATCAGCAGCCATGCCATTTTGACAGTCCCAGTGGGTTGGGGAGGTTGGGAGTTGTAGGAGATGCTCGGAGGAGGGTGGGACAAGCTATACCTGTGATGGTGGGAAGGGGCAGAAGAAATCGAAGTAGGAGTGGGGAGCATCACACCAGATGCATTCGGATGGTAACTTGCTCCCATACCTCCTGCTCACCCTGCTTTCCTGGGAATATGAGAGCGAAGGACCCTGGTTTCCGTCTGATATATGTGAATGCCAGGTCCGTGATGAATAAGGCTCTCCTCATACGAGATCTTATTGATGAGGAGGGTGCAGACCTGGCCTGTATCACGGAGACCTGGTTGGGGCAAGAGGGGGGAATCCCTCTCTCTGATTTATGCCCCTCAAGCTTTCGTGTCCTGCACCAGCCGTGACACCAGGGAAGGGGCGGGTGGTGGTGGCAGTAGTTGTTAGAGAAAGTCTGAGTCCTAGGGAGGTCACTGTCCCTCAGATAGGCGGGTGTGAGTCTCTTCTATTGAAGTGGGACCCTGGAGTTCAGTCGGGCTTGTTGGTCACATACCTATCTCCCAGCTATGTTGCCACAGCCCTGCCCACACTGCTCGATGTCTTGTCTGAGGTGGCACTTGAACTCCCCAGCCTTTTAGTTGTGGGAGATTTTAATCTGCCTTCGATTGGTGAGTCATCTGAGACAGTCCGGGAGTTCATGGCCTCCATGGCAGCCATGGACCTGACTCAGGTTATTCAGGGCCTAACTCATAGGAGAGGACACACACTTGACCTGGTTTTTCTCTCTGGGCAGTGGATAAATGGTCATGGTAAGGGGGAACTTTCCATCACTCCCCTGTCATGGACTGACCATTCCCTCCTTAGACTAGACTTTCAATCTGCCAACCCCTACCGCTGGGAGACGGGACCCATAAAATGGTTCCGCCCTAGGTGCCTGATGGACCCAGAAAGGTTCTTAAAGGAGCTTGGGACATTCCCCACCTCTCAATCCTGCGATTCAGCTGAGGCTCTGGTGGCATCCTGGGAATGGGTGGCTACCGACGCCTTGGACAGAATCGCACCTTTGCGGCCTCTAACCCGACGCAGATCCCGGATTGCTCCTTGGTTTTCCATGGAGCTCTGGGAAATGAAACGTCGGAAAAGACGCTTAGAGGAGAGTTGGAGGTCCTCCCGATCTGAATCTGACCGAACACAGTTAAGAACCCATATTAGGTCTTATCTAGTGGCGATGGAAGCGGCGAAACGTCACTACTTCGCCACCCTCATTGCATCTGCAGAAAACCGCCCAGTGGCCCTGTTTCGTGTGACCTGCTCCCTCCTCAATCAGGGAGCGAGGGAAGACCCTTTGCAGGGCAGAGCTGAGGATTTTGTACAGTTTCTGCATGATAAAATCGCTCAGATCCGGATGGGATTGGACTCTGACTGGGCAAAATCCAATCGGGAGACTAGGGTGGGTCTTGAGAATAATATCTGGATTGAGTTTGACCCTGTTTCTGTCAAGGAAGTGGACAGGATTGTGGGGAAACTTAGTTCCTCCACTTGCTTATTGGATCCTTGTCCCTCCTGGTTGGTTTCGGCTGCCAGAGAGGTGACTAGAGACTGGATCCAGGCAATTGTCAACGCTTCATTGAGAGAGGGGAACTTCCCCACCTCTCTTAAGGAGGCGGTGGTTCGACCTCTCCTCAAGAAACCTTCCCTGGATCCAGACACACTTAATAACTATCGTCCCGTCTCCAACCTTTGCTTCATCGGGAAGGTTGTTGAGACTGTAGTGGCTCAACAGCTCCCACAATTCCTGGAGGAAACAGAATACCTTGACCCGTACCAATCAGGCTTC